ACTTATGTTTCAAACAGTCTGAAGAAGTTTCGGCTGTAGACTATTGGTCACGAATAATACTCCAATGGGAATCTAGGAGCTTGTGTGGGAACACGCAACGTGAAAGTGCGCATCGCATTGCCAAAATCGGGGCCAGTTGAGTAGTTTCCCTAATTCCCTGTCTCATCGTTCTAGGCCCACAGAATCTCGATAATGGTGTGCACCACTGTGTGTACTTTGAACACCGTCCCCGGCAGGTCACAGGTCACACTACTCATAAAGTTGCTCAAAACTCTAACAGCAAGTGATCGGTTTCGTCCCTATTTTGGCTCATCAAGTAGGCGCAGTCTTCGAGTTTCTGTCGACTTTATATTCTACTTGGACCTAAATAGCTTAAAAACATCACAAACAAGAGATTCATTTGGTTTCCAGGTGAGTCGCTGGTCAAAATTGAAGTGGTATGCAAATGAGTGTATTTTTCTGGTCACAGGTGATTTATATTAGAGCACGGAATCGGAGGGTGAACACAAATGGGCAGTTGTAAAGCTGCGGGGTAACTAACTAGTGACCCTTGATTATATTTTACGTACTACACTATATTATACCATACCATAAGATACCATACTTTACTATGCACCATACGCGACATACTATATACTATACTGTACTATACTATTATACATGCTATATACTATACTACTACACAATCTACACTACATTGTAGTGTAGAATGATGGCGAACTATCACTGCACTGTGCTGTGCTACAGTGTATGAGGATGGCAAGCTATCACATTAATGAGAGTTTATGCAATTCGTTTTAAGACGACAAAGGGTAAGAAAAATCTGTCAGAAGACTGGCCCGATAAGCAACGGAGAAACCGAAGACTCGGAACTGATGGTAATCATGTAAGTTGTTTCTCCCACGGTCCTTTAAAGTTATGGGTGATACGCCGTGGCATGTTCTGAACACTTCAGATTTAAAGCTGCCAGAGTGATTTAGACCGCAGATATAAGGTTTTAAACAAATCATGATTAAAAACAGTCTGTGGTTCAGCATAGCAACAAGCCCAAAACTGATAAACGTTGTGGCGTGTATCCTTTCATTGGTACGAATATTCGGTGACCTTTTCAGACCAAGAAAATTGACACCTGAAGGGTGTGTGATCTATGAACGGAGGTTGGAAAGGAAAGTGGGGTTTCGATAGGGATATTGGGCCAAAACTTATGGGGATCCCTGAAAACATCGGCCGCTATATCGAGGATATGCCATATGCCGTCCCTCCATCTGGTTAATAGTTCAGGCGCTATAAGAGGTGACACTAAAAATGTTACACACCCAAGGGCCTAGTCTAACTTAAATATACGGTAACTTCCCTCCATCTGGTTAATAGTTCAGGCGCTATAAGAGGTGACACTAAAAATGTTACACACCCAAGGGCCTAGTCTAACTTAAATATTATGACGGTAACTTGATTCTGTACAACAGAGTATTTTATGCTGACGAAAACTGAAATCCGAGGATGATGAATCACAGGCTGAAACCAGATACCTGAATATATCGGTGAGTGTTCCGGACTTAGCCAAGGTCAGCAGGATGAAGTCCGCTTCAGAGAAATTTCCCCTGCACAGTGGAACGAATATGGGAGCACCGTCGACAGTCTTTCTAGAGGGTGACCAATGTATCATGAAGTGACCGGCCGTTTTGTTATCAGGCGCGCGTAGATATTCATCTGCATGATTCTTCACGTAAACACTGGAAGCTCTACTACTGAAAATCGAGCATTCTGGTGCTTCCTATCGTACACGAGCTAGGTATCAAGACGTCCCAAAATTACTGGTTGTCCTAAAAATAACCCATAATACTACTAATATCAACAGTAGTACCTCAGTGATTCTTAAATTAAAACGGGAAGTTTTACCTCCAGGAAATAATTGTCCAGTGCAAACTGTGCATCTTCAGAAAAAACAAGTGTAATTGGGCGACCCTTGCATTTGTTCGCGCAGTTTAGATAGAATAATCCTTCATCTTCCCGTGCAAACAGAAATTGACCGTTGATCTGGCGGATTTGCGCTTCCGGAGCGCTGTTCAAGCTTTGTCCACTGTCCACCACGACCGGACAGTTAGAGCACAGAGCCTCATCTCCAAGCATGATTCTAACGGGAGGAAGGGAGAAAATGCTTGTCTGTCAGGTGTACGGCCGAATAAATAAAAATGTTTTTAATCGACGTTCTCAGCACACGCTGGGGACACAGTGAATCACTCTGCTTGGAGAATCATCAAGTTACAGATGGGTAGATAACAAGTAGTAAAGTATAGATCTTTGTTAGTACTATTTTAATTGCGAAAACCAAATCTTATGGACCCGTGACGCTCTGTGAGCAACCAGGTGAGACATATCACGTGGATGATGGTGATGACAATAACAACAAGATGAGTCTAAATCAACATGAGCCATTTGATGATATGGAAGAGGAATTCCCTGAAGCCATAACCCCAGTGAGATTCAGCACCTTCATCGTCACTATCTTGCTCACAAGGAACATCAACACCAAAGTTAACATCGATGCTGCAGTGCGGACAATCGTGTATATCTACTTTGTTTTGTCTTCAACTTGAAACAGATGAGAAGCGAAGTGGGAAATTACTTTACACAAGTGTCACCCGTATGACTCTGATATTTCTCCAAAGGCCGGCGCTGACAAGGGTTTACTGCGCTAGCTGGCATTGTCTTTACGCAAGCGCAGACAGAACCGAAGGAAGCCGCCCTCCTCATATAAGTTAGATTGTTCCAATCGCATCCATGCTATTGCAGGGAGGCATGGGATACAACATCCAGATCGCGTCACACGAAAACCATGAGTTATTGCCCCCTAGAGTGTCTAAAGATAGACCAATTGATGTGCAACCTGGGTGCGATTATAAAACACAGATGGTTAATGAACTTACAACATATGATATGCACCACTTTGTCCCGAGACTATTACATCACGACTCAGAACAAGCTAGCCGAAAGGGCAGCGGTAGTACAAATTAGTGGTCATTGACGAAATCTCTCAAGACCCATGCGCTAATTCACGCCCAGATTTTTCACATCTGAGCTGACCTAACTGCTGAGATATGTATGGACGTAATGCACTACTCATAAGGTTGCTGAAAACGCCTTGACAGCCCATGACTGGTTTCACCCTTCAGCGCGTAGGTGCAGTTGCCGGGTTTCTGTCAACCTTATGTTCTGCTTGCATCCAGACTGCACAAAATTATCAAAATACACTCATTTGCAAACAAATTTGGTTTTTCTGTCGTATGCTACGGAACCTCAAGTAAGTCTTGTTGAATTCCGAAGCGTGTGACTCAGTGGATCAGTGACAGAGGAAGGCAAAACGAATTAACCATTTCTTTTGCGCGCAAATAACTGATGGCAAACTGTTTCCAGTCGTTCTGAGTTTCCCAGTTGGTTTGTTCAAATGGATCTGTCTTATAAACCATGTTGTGAAGAGTTCCATGCCGTCTGTAGTGATCGTTCTTGCTTTCCAGTCAAGTTGTTGAGTTGGTCGTTGGCTTGTTCGCTGAGCTGGGCAATTTGGTTGCAAACGTTTCATCACCAATCGAGGTGACATCATCAGTGCGTAGTTGTGCGTAGCGGTGGGTTAGTGAGCTACCGGCATCCTCCTCTATAGAAAAAGTTGTTGAGTATTCAACAGACCACGTGCTCAAGCGTTCAGGTATTCAACAGTCACGACGTACTTTTGTCCAAAGCTACAAGCAATTGAAAATTGTACAGTGCAGCTGAAGAGAACAACCAAGAGAGCTTTTCATGTTGTTTAATGAATTTTACGGCTTCGACCTGGAATGCAGTACACCGGTTGATTCTGCCTGAGAGGACCCTCCACTGGAGTTGATGAAAACTTGGGTGAACCGTTCTGACTAGTCACCGGTTATCAGGTTCTCATTGTTCACTGTAAACTGGTATTTTATGAGAATAGAATATCTTGGAGCACAAGTGGCGAGTGTTAATTTATCGATACAAAAGTATGGTGAATTTAAGCTGGCAGATTGATAGCTACAATTAAAATTCAGGAAACAATGATGGTCGAATGAAGGGGAATACAGAGGATTTTGGAGAACGAAGAGTGGAAGTTTTCAGTTCCATTATGGGACAGATGGACTGAGTAGGGATGGCTTGAGGATCATAGTTGACTGGTAGCATGGAAGAACGCACAGGAGAGCGTCCTTCCTGGATTACTCCCGGGTGCAATAAACCTCAGCTGAGTGCTGTCATGTATGGAAGAGGTGGAAATGGGACAAACGAAGCTCTGATGAACTTGAGTGGATAGATTCAGAAGATGAAGGAAATAACATTCTTGACATGGCACTACTTATAATGCTACTGAAAACTCTTCGACAGCACACCAACCATGTCATTCTTCTTGAGACTCCTCAGGTCGGCGCGCAGTCACCGAGTTTTAGTCAGTCTTACTTTCCAGTTGAACCCAAATTGTACGGAATATGATAAATGCTTTTTTCGCGCACCATTTGGCTTTCAACAAAAGACTCAACTAAATCCCAGGTGGACCTCTCGCTTATGACAGTCTTCAAATGAGGGCTGACCTTGAGTTTCCCACCTACACCAACTGAATTAAAAACGAAACGACATTCTCATTGTTGCGCAAAACCCATCGTTATCCGTAGACTGATTAAAAAATTTTTGCAAGTGGGATAGTCCGGGTCACCCCAATATATCTATTCAGTTCTAACCAGATAGCCCTGTAGCTGCGTGATTTTTCTCTATTCATTTTGCTATTGTCCAAACTGGAACACAGGAATCTTCAACACATCGGTCTAGGTTCCCGAAATTACGGGCGGTTGCGATTTAGTCGCAACAGAACACTCAGTCAAGAATTTCGAG